TATCGTGAATTCCCCGCAGCCCGCCCAGGGGTAAAGGCAAACATTCCGTCCCGTGTATAAAGTTATCGTACCCAGGGTATCGTATTGTATCCCGTTCAACGTCGGAAACAGTCCAAACTTTCAGATTCCCGCCCACCCCCACTCCTCCCGCGCGCACCCTGCTCGCTGCATCTCAAATACATCTCGCTAACCCGCACTAGTCACATTGGGGTTTTTTTTCAGAGGTTCCAATAAAAGCATAATCTTAAAAGTCGGGGTTGGGTTTTGTGGTTAAGGGGGTCTGTACTTTTTCCCTCCCGAGTTATCTACCCCCTCGATTTCTTGGCCACTCCCTTCAATTTCCCCAGCTGTACTATTGCGCACTCAATGTTGCATATGTGTTGTTGTTTCTTCTTCCTCGCCCNGGGGTCTTTACTTTTTCCCTCCCGAGTTATCTACCCCCTCGATTTCTTGGCCACTCCCTTCAATTTCCCCGGCTGTACTATTGCGCACTCAATATTTCATATGTGTTGTTTTTTCCTCATCCTCGCCCATTGCAAAAATGATGTTTTTCTAAGGGCTTACTCCTATTCCTCCGTGTTCTCCTCAGAACCTTTCAAGCTGTAAGAAATGTTTTTTAAAAAAACATCATTGTTTTGATTTACTATGTTGGTTTCACTATGTATTTGTCAGCAAGTCCCGTGTTTTATGTACTCCTAAAGGTTTGTTATCTGATAATCTTGTTCGCAGAAACTTCCTGGAAAATAGAACATTTTTTAGGAGCTCAGATTGAGAAGCAAGTACCGCAAGAACCATTCCGGTTGAACGGAGCTCCGAAAGCGCTCTGGAAGGTCAGTCTGATCCAGGCTCTCAGACCGAGGGAATTGCTCGTTATNCAACGGAGCTCCGAAAGCGCTCTGGAAGGTCAGTCTGATCCAGGCTCTCAGACCGAGGGAATTGCTCGTCATTGGAGTAATCTGGGAGCCTGGAAGAAGCCCAAAGGGTGCCTGTTTCGTGTTTGTTCCATGCTTGTGGAGAAATGTAGAGACGAGGCGAAGAAAATGATCTAGGTTGACAACTAGGTAGTAAACAAAATTTCCGGAATCTGGCCCTGTTTTGCGCTCGTTCCATTACCAGAGTACTTACTACTCGTAAATGTGATTG